GCCTTCTACTTCCAGTACGAGCTCGACGAAGGAGAGCATTTGAAACGGCTTTTTTGAGCTGATCCGATTTCGAGGAGGAACTACGGTTCGTTTGGTGATGTTGTATCGTTTGATGCGACGTACGACACCAACAGGTTGGCATAAATTTCACACATATTTTTCCAACGTAGTTTGTCAGTTCAATAATAATTTTGTACCGGTCAACAGTAATAGCACACTATACAATTAGTAACTGCACTTTATGCATTAAGTAATAGCATTTTATACATTAAATAATAGAACACTATACAATTAATAACTGCACTTTATGCATTAAATAATATCACTTTATACATTCAGAAATTGCACTTTTTATAGTCCCTGGTTGCACACTATAAACGTTCTCATCTGTGTACTAACACAAATTGCTCAACATGTAGGTACAAAATGGTGTTTGCGCCTTTTACCGGAATAGATAACCACAACAGGTGTGTTACATTTGCCGCCGCATTAATATCAAAAGAGGATGTGGACTCTTATGAATGGGTGTTCAAAAATTTCAAAGATGCAATGATGCACGAACCCGAATATATTGTAACTGACCAAGATCCCTCGATCGGCATTGCGTTTCCTAAGGTATTCAAAACTTGCAAACACCGATTTTGCATGTGGCATATAATGAATAAATTATGCGACAAGGTCGGCCATTCAATAGGTAACGATGTAGAATTCAGGAGAAGGCTTAATGAAATTGTGTGGGATCGAACTATAAAGCCTGACGAATTTGAAGCTAAATCGGCGGCAATCATGACAGACTATACACTGGAAACACACAATTGGTTTAATGATCTATTTGCAAAAAGGGAATTTTGGATTCCAGCATTTTTCAGGGATGTTAAAATGAGCGGATTGATGAGGACAACATCAAGGTCCGAGAGTGAGAACAGTTGGTTTGGTCATTTCACGAATAGCCATTCTAGCTTAGTCGAGTTCTTACTACATTTCGAGAGTGCGATGGACGCGCAGCGAAACGTGACAGTCAAGCTACAAAATGACAGTGAGTCGCAAATTGCTGATTTGAAGACACCTTTGCCGGTTGAAAAACACGCGATGTCTGTTTACACGATATCCTCATTCTACCGCGTACAAGATGAGATATGTGCAGCATGTTTCACCTGCCGTGTATTGAATATATCTGAAAGTGAAGGGCATATGGAATTCATAATCAAAGAGACGAATGGAAAATCCTTCACTGTCGTTCATGATGTGGTTCTAACTACGTCTTCGTGTTCGTGCAAGCACTTCGAGTTGTACGGGTGGTTGTGTAGACACGTATTTGTTGTGCTCAAAGATCTGGGCTTCAATCTTATTCCGTCAGCATATATCATGCCGAGATGGACAAAGCAGGCGATTAGTAATCCCATGTTTCACGTTCTCGATAACATTGATGCACAGTGTGCCAATGCCGATGATATAAATCGATTGTTGAACAAACTATGGTCAGATATACATATAAGCATTGGATTAGCCGAGCCCTGTGTCGACCACCTCATTGAATTTTCAAAAATCGTCGAAGCATACAAGATTAAGCTACTGTCTGCTCGAACACCAGGGGATGCAACAACCAATGGTAAAATATACATAATGATTTTAAATATTTATGTTACAGTACTGCACTTTATATATATCCACATTGCACATTATGACACAAGTCATTGCACTTCATAAAGAATAAAATGTATGCTGTTCAGCAGGGGGTGCTGTGGATGATGATATGCACATTGGAAAAGAACACCAATTTGAATCATTCGTCGGCATGGCCGCTCCTCGAGAGGTAAACATTCACCCACCGACCCAGTCCAAGAACAAAGGTAGCGGTAAGAGACTAAAGAGTGCGAAAGAGAAAGGGATTGAAGGGTCGAAAAAGAAACGAAGGACGTGCAAGTCATGTGGTGAAATGACAGGCCACAACGCACGTACATGCCCCAAGAAGCATCAGACATACATGTCAAATCCAACCGCGGTAAATGAACAAATATTCGTCTAATACCCATTATATGCGAAATGGCGGGATGCTAACTCGATTCGCCTTGTCGATAACATATGCATATTAAAATGTGATGACTTAATATTAACATATATATATATATATATATATATACTATATATAAAATGCAGGAACAGGCGACAAGCGAGGCGACAAGGGGATGATTGTATTCATCTTGATCAACTGGTTTATTTTTTTTTTATTTTTATTTTTTTTTTTTTATCCGGACAGTGTTGAGACATGTGGTCGATTTATTAACGAATATTGCTCTATATAGCACTCACTCGTTGTCTTGAATTTTACGACATTCAATGTTCATTGTATTTTTTCAGTTGTATTGACTAATTACTATGTATGCGTAGATCGCATATTTTTTTGATAATATGTTGCACTTCTATTAACATTACGTTGCACTCATGGTAACAGACGGATGCACTTTTTTCACCCGATACGGTTACACAATTACGAATTAATTCACTACAAGGACCTAATACAAACACGTATATGCTTATATACTTACAGTAGAATTTGATGGTATTACAACATGACTACACCACCACAGTCGCACTTTATACATTATGCCATTGCACATTATACACCACTTCACTGCACTTTACGGAACTAAATGCCGACACTTATCAACACAACATGACTACACCACCACAGTCGCACTTTATACATTATGCCATTGCACATTATACACCACTTCACTGCACTTTACGGAACTAAATGCCGACACTTATCAACACGTTCACCACATACGTAATCTCAATAGTTCCGTATCAGAGACATCTGTATATGTATATATATATATATGTGTATATATATTGTCGCGCTATCATACCAAGAAAAGACGAAATCAAATCATAACAAAATACTAACATATTCATCCAAAACAATAGTGCTAGAATCAAACATCAGGTGACGGATGTACCAAGCGTTACGTCCTACGCATACATGTAGTAAAACAAAACATGCCAACAATACGACTAATGTGTCCAAATAACAAATGACACGTCACACGAAATCGCCTTTCTTCGGCTGGAACCTATTTGATTGTGCGAGGTTCTCATTTTTCAACTTGTTGAATGGGGCAAATGCAATGACGTAGCAATATCGCCTCCTCATGAGGTCGATCTGTCGCTTGTTAGCCCTCTTCACGTCCGGATTCCAATGTGGCGTGATGCGTCCTTTGAATGTCTCCATGTGACGCATCGTTACAACGCCGGCATCTACGACATCGACACCTTCAGTCCACGACAGATCGACAAAGTCCGGCATCGATGGTGCGACTGCTTTTGAAGATTTTGACATACTCGTGTGTCCCATGTACTTGGCGAGAGATTGCCGCTACAACAAATACACATATTATCATGTAACACAAAGACGTGAAAAAAGAACTACGGAAACAATAAAAGGACAAAACAAAACAAAGACGTCACGTGATAATTAAAATAAATAAATATCTACAAAAAAAATATATATGTTACCAAGATAGTAGCATTAGACGAGACGGATTTCCTTATGGTGGCATCTTTACAGAAGCCGGCGCTATCCAGTATATATAATTTCTGATCGCTCGGGGAAATACAAATCAGCCCACTAAAACCATCAGAGTGCATGGGGAACACATACTGTAATTCAAACAAATGACCAGACGGTTATAATGTATCACAACTCATTATAATCAAAATCTAAAATGCAATAATTCGAGATACCAATGCAACTTTCTTCCAGTTATGTCCACACATTCGTCCGATATCTGAATCTAGCCTCTCTACGAACTTCTTGTAATTCACGTCCTTTTTTCGCTTCCCCTTAAAAAATAGCTGATATTCACAAATTTTTGTCGTAAATATTACTGAAACAACAAAGTAGATCAAATATCATAAGTATACTTCCAATACATCATAAATATATCATATTGCACCTCATTACACGGACGAGTGGTTGCAAAGAAACACGCTACTGAGCCACGACTCCCGAGCTTCTCATTGCTGTTCATTATACGAGCCCACAGATCAATAAGTGCCTCAGGGATTGGCGTGTTCGGTGTCAAGCATGCCACAACATCTCTCTTCACAGCATAATCAAGTGACAGTGTCTGATATATAATCACGTCGCTGTGTATAAAAAAATATTATCAACACAACAAAAAATATAATAAATAATTACAATGAGTAATAAAGTTGATTACATAAAATAATAACACAATGGCACAACATAAATCTTACTCGTTAGCTTTTTGCAAAACCCAGTTAACAACTGCCTTTTCCTGGCTGTCGAGGTTCTTGACCACGTCAATATACCTTTGATTGAAGGGTGACTTAACCATGCTGGAAAACTTGGGACTCCTTTTTGGTCTACCAGCATCAACAACAGGATCGTCAGTAATCGCATCGCCACCGGCACCTAGTCAACACATATGAAGCACCTAAATACAACCGGAACGAACAATATAAAAAATATTTGAATATATAGAACGTATGGAGTTAATACCTTGCACGCAATCGGGAATTGTATTTGCATCCAGTTCATTAACCACTGCATCGCGATCATCTTGAAAAAAAAAAAAAAAGGAGAGAAAAAGGTAAAAAATGGATGTCATCAAACATATGTATACAACAACAATCAGATGAGATAGTTATAAACGTGAACTGATTGACTCAAAATACCTGATGGAACGTCTACATTGGAAGGACCGTCAGTAGTGAATTCGTTGAGATTGTTGAATCGTCCTGCATCAGCATCCTCAGCATCATCCGGTGTAAGTCCCAAGCCCAAGCTAAAACTGGGGCCTTCATGATGAATCCGTTTAAAACGGTCTCGATGCGCAACAGCATCGATAATAGCATCTAAGGCAGCCAGATTCTTGGGTTCGTTCCAGAATGCGTCATCCACTAACTGTGTTGGTCCGGGAACGGTAGGTCCGTCATTGCAGATGGGTGTTTGTTGACTAGACTTTCCTTTTACGTCTTCATTAGACACCCCAAGTAGCTTCTGTGCGGCACCCCGCATCTTCATAAAATTATCATCGCATAATAAATCTTCAGGCGCCCTCTCGACTAGCTGTAAAATTTCAACACCCACAGTGGCAAGAATACGGGCTTTTGATGCAAATTCTTGAACAAAATCCTGTTATTATGAAAAAATAAAAACAAGACATATAAAAAAAATCAAAAAAATCATCCAGAAACACACACAATCGTAATAACACGCATGATATCGTATGACAAACACATAAATAGAACTGGTACCGGTTGCACATAACTACTAGTCAGACTGCACCATTATGTGTATACGGATGCACCGATTATCCATCACATATAAATCAATCGAATAACTAAAAATTTGAAGAATCATATAACCGTAAAGTAAACGAGCAATCAAGACAAAAACATACAATATATATTCTGATAAAATCACAATACATACCCATATCGAACATAGCATCACGATCAAGATAATACAGAAACATATATAGAAACATAAATACACTACTGCTTCCGGTTGCACATAATTAATACGGTTGAACCGCCTATATGTCACATATAAACCATAACAAATAGTCAAAAAACACATATAAACTATTGGTGTCGGTTGCACATAATTAATGTACATGTTGAACTTTTCAGTGAACCCGATTGCACCAATTATACATAATGTATAAAACGTAACAAACATGCGACGAAGAAACTGTAAACTTAAGTCGAAAACGAGCAAGTGTACAATAAACAATTTAGACAAACAAGACGAGACACAAACGGGCAATATCACACTACATATCCACCTCAATCAACGAAATATATCACGTGTGGGGAAACACAAAAAAATATATGGTCATTTGATGCAAATTCATACATGAACGACTGAAACAACTAAAAGGGTAAACGAATCAATTAAACGTGTATACAACAATGCAAGTCATATGATGCAAAAAAATAATTCGTACAACATCATATGCACTCAACGATACCAGACTGCACCAAATAACTACACACATTGCACAAATGTTATGCAGCTGTTGCACTGAAAGAAAAAAAAAACTAAAAAATGAAAAAAATGAAGACACAGAATAAATCAACTGTTATATACACTTACATGCACACTTCCTTCCGACGCACAGTTCATGTCATTCCCAACAGGGCTGCCAATATGTATGTCGGCACGGTGATGACCATCCGACCCATGTATGTCATCATCAACATATCCTCTCCCAAATGCACCAGCCGCAACCTCGTCACGCTCTCTCGCTTTCAGCAAACCGTTATTCCATGATTTAAAAATCGGTAGTGATCTTGGAACGGATCTAATCGATAACACAACCTTGTCGACATAAAACAGCTACACGAACAGAAGACCACAATAACGCAAATAAATAAATAGTGATGAAACCAATAAAGTAAACAGAATAAACGTCGTCGAGGATCGAATTCACATACCGTCAGAAATAGCAAAGGTCCAGTGAAATTCTTGCGCTTCTGACTAACATACCATGATTTTTTAGCACCCACCAGACACCGAATCATGTACGCACACCAGTTCATCTTGCTCACGTTCGATAAATCATCGAGCAAGTGAACCGTGCGTAAGTTCGCCACCCCGTTCTGAGAGCTCTCAAACAAACACGTGATCATTAGAACCAAAAAATGCCGTTTGAACCAGTCGTCGCTCATAGCACAGCTCTGAATCATATCCAAAACCTTTGTAGCCGTTATTTTGGTGGCAATGTTGACATTGTACACATCGGCCCATTCTTTCAACGCTTCCGACTCTGTTTTTTTCTTCCGGTTTGTGACCTCAATATTCCCACGGGGCAGACCCATCACTCTATATACATCGTCTTCTTTCACATGGATTTTCCCACCATCATACAATTGCAGCTTCCGGTCCATATGGTTGAAGTTATCAACCAGCCAATATCCCATTTTCGCTGGTGTTGCTGTTATCGTCAAATCGAGCAAGCTTCCAAATCCCATATCGCGGACTGCACGTCTCTGGTCCTCAGACAGACCGGACACCGCCTTCACGAATATGGCTGGCGATGTTCGCGTGTGGATGGTCGGGAGCGCATCATCGGTTACTGCCCGGGTATCCTCCAGTGTATGCGTACCACCTTTTTCGTTAACAGTCCGTTGCACTCTTACATCACCTGTAAGATATA